GCCTGGTCAGAAATGTCCACGAGACTTTTATCTCCAGTTATCCACCACAAAGCCAGAAATGGAGGTATGGCTCCACTGGTACAGAAGCAGCTTTGAACAAAAAAGTCATGGGAGATTACAAGACCCTGAGTCTAAGCCCCAGTACTGGCCAGCGTGAACACATCTACACATGCATATCCATACATGTATACACACATGCACACACATGCACGCCTGGGTTAGATGATCTTTAAAATCCCTCCCAATCTTTAACAGTGTTTGTATACAGAGAGAGAAAGAGAGAGAGAGAGAACATACCAAAGTAAGTTTTCTCTCACATGCTTCCCCAGCTCCCTCCCCTTCCCTGGCCTCACAGTTCTGGTGCAGGGCTAAATTTTAGATTTGAACCTTATGGTCATTTCCCCAGGCTCTGTTTTCTGGGTTGTTTATTCTTTTACAGTACTTTGATTTCTGCAGTTTTGGCTTATGAAGGAGTTTGCTCAATAGGAATATGAAAATGGTTTTGCTTACACCATTTCTGAGAATTACAAGCAGATATGATGTAAGCAGCAGCGTGGAGTATTTCAGAACACTGCAAACACAAAGGGTGAAAAGTTAAAAGCAAATTTGGTCTTAGGTCTTAGTCTTGTAACATAGTTTATATAAAATGGTTAGGATTGGTTTCTAAAAGCAACAATGCTTATGTGACATTTGATCTAGTTTTTGTTGTTGGGGTGCCTGTGCCAGTCCTGAGGCTTGAAGTCAGTGTCTATGTCTGGGTGCTGCCCCTTTAGCTCTTTGCTCAAGGCTGGCGCTCTAACACTTGTGCCACAACTCTACTTCCAGCTTTTTGGCGATTAACTGGAGATAAACAGCCTCACATATTTTATTGCCCAGGCTGGCACGAGCCACCAGTACCCAGAAGTATTTTTTGGGGGGGTGGGTCTGTTGTGGGGCTTGAACTCACAGTCAGAGAGTTTTTGTCCAAGGCACTAGCTCTACCACTTGTAGCCATGGTACCACTTCCACTTTTCTAGTCTTTCAGACTTTCCTGCCCAGGCTGGCTTCAAACCTCAATCCTCAGATTTCAGCCTCCTGAGTAGCTAGGGTTATAGGCATGAGCTACCAGCGCCCAACTCTAGCAGTATTTTAGTCTCTTACAAATGATATGCAGCTGGGCTCTAGTGACACATACCTGTAATTCTAGTTATTCAGGAGGTTGAGATCTAAGAGTCTTGGTTTGAAGACAGCCTAGGCAGGAAAGTCTGTGTGAGTCTTAGTTCCAATTAACCACCAGAAACCCAGAAGTGAAATTGTGGCTGAAATCCTTGAGGACACAGAACCAGTCCCTGATTTTAAGTCCCAGGACCAATACATACACACACATCTTCTGGATAACTAAACCCTTGAAAATCTATTTTCACTACTATGTTACAGAATTCATATCACCAGTAAAGGCCCTCACATCAGCACTGGTAGTTTATGCCTATAATTCTAGCTATTCAATAGGAAGCGGATATCTTAGGTACATGGTTTGAGGCAAGCCCAGGTAGAAAAATCTGAGACGCTTATCTGCAATTAAACACAGAAAGTCAGAAGTGGAGCTGTGGCTCAAGGTGGTAGAGCTAGTACTAGCCTTGGGCACAGAAGTTCAAGGATGGTGCCCAGGCCCTGAGTTCAAGCCACAGGACCAGTAAAAAAAAAAAAGCCCTTCAAATAAGAAAGTTGTTTAAAAGGTAAAATATTTTACAGTACATATATACAGTCATCATCATCATCATCATCAAAGACTATTATTTTCTATTTTACTATTATAGGTCAACATAAGTTATAGTCTAATACTTTATAGCATTATGTAGAAAACAATGCAACTTTCAAGTGGATAAAGACTAGTCAGGGTTTTTCTTTGCACAAAACATTGAGGTTTTTGGTGATTTAAACTTAAACCTTACAGCTAAAAACTTAGTTATCCTCACTATATGCAATTTGTGTGTGTGTGTGTGTGTGTGTGTGTGTGTGTGTGTATGCGTGTTGGTCCCAGGGCTTGAACTCAGGGCCTCATATTCTTGATTGGCTTTTTTGTTCAAGTCTGGAACTCTACCACTTGAGCAACAGCTCTACTTCTGGCTTTCTGCAGTTAATTGGAGATGAGAGTCTAGTGGATCTCCCTATCTGGGCTGATTTCAAACCATGAGCCTCAGATCTTGATTTCCTGAGTAGCTAGAATTACACACATAAACCACTGATGCCTGGCTCATTTGGCGATTTAAAACTTAAAACTACAATTAACCTCACTATATGCGGTTTTGTAACCTACAATTTTGTGAACACTTAAGAAATCTTATATCCTAATATTTGTTGGTTGGTGTTACTCATAGCGACAAAATTTATCCTGTGAAATGGAGGCAGGAGCCTGTTGTATATTAAAGAACCACTCAAGGCTGAATCCCCAAATAGGGGCTTTGGCAGTTACATATAGTTACTGTTTGAGCATTCATAGTTCCTAGCTTGAAAGGAGAGACATGCTCTCCAGAAATGCTTCCCAACTGCCCTCCATCCTTTACCTGATGCATTCAGACCACTAAGATGCAAAGCAGCCATGTCTTTCTTGTACTCTTAACCTAACGTAACTAAGAAAGCAAAAGGTTTAATGTGCTGGAGGCCTTTCTCAGAGGATACTACAATGTTCTCTAGTCACTCCAACAATCACACCTGTGGTCAAGTGCCCAGGAACCCAGGAATGGGCTCTATTACTACAGTCTGAAATTTTAAGACCAGGGAGACAAGGACCTGGAGGGCTTCTACCTTCGTCAAGAGTGGGTTCTGGCACCCCAGCTTCTCCGGAGTGAGGTTTATTTGCATCCCCAAATGATAGCTATTCATCAGGACCTACAGTAAGTTGCTGTTGTTGACAGCTCAATGTCTCCAGAGCTGACTCAGAAAATGTGCCACTTAAATACTTTCTTCTGCTTCAGGAAGTACACTCAAGACTGACTGGCCTTGCTGGGAAGGTGGCTCAGTGGTAGAGCGCTTGCCTTGCATGCATGAGGCCCTGGGTTCGATTCCTCAGCACCACATAAGCAAAAAGAAAAAAAGCTGGAAGTGGTGCTGTGGCTCAAGTGGTAGAGCACTAGCCTTGAGCTGAAGAGCTGAGGAACAGCGCCCAGGCCTGGAGTTCAGACCCCATGACCGGACCCCCCCCAAAAAAAAAAGAAAGAAAGAAAAGAAAGGAAGAAAAGGAATCTACCAAGAGAATGAGTCAGAATTGTTTATATTCTAACTTGTAGGAAATTCTATTACTTCTTTTTGCTTGTTTGATTGATTTGTGCTGGTCCTCGAGCTTGAACTAAGGGCCTAGCCAACTGTCCCTCAGCTTTTTTGGTCAAGGCTAGCACTCTACCCTACTACTTGAGTCAGAGCTCCCTTGTCCACTTTTTGATGACTAATTGGAGGTGAGAGTTTCATGGACTTTCCTGCCTGGGCTAGCTTTGAACTGCGATTCTGAGATCTCAGCCTCCTGAGTAGTTAGGATTATAGGTGTGAGCTAGTGGCTCCTGGAATTTCAGTGATTGGACAATGGTGGCACTATCCTGTAAATATACCAATGTTTCAGCCTATGGAACATAGGTATGGACACATACATGTGCCAGTACTGAAACTTGAAGAGTTCTATTTTGGTGGATCCCCAACTAATAGAACACCTCTTGAACTGACAACAGATAGGTAGGAGAAAAAATGAATGAAAGAAGTGGAATGTCCAAGAAGCCAATCTCTAGAGCTCTATTCTTAACTAGCATACCTCATCTGCTCCCCTTTTCTAAGCAGCAGTGAAATCTATATCTGTGTACCACAGAGGCCTCTCCCCTAAGCTTCAATGGCATAATTTCAAATAACTGGTAGATTTTCCTTAGGAAACTCAAACCAATGCAGGTCTAAATTTAAAGTAAATTACCTTTTCCCACAACTTTCTTTTCACTCTTTCCCCTTCTCATCCATACCAGAAATCTGAGAGCCATCTTTGATTTTTCTCTCTATGTCACCACTAACTATAGTCAGTTCTAAGTCCTCTGTCCTGCTTTTTTTTGCCAGGTTCCCAACATCAATTGAGACATTCACAGTGGCTTTCTAACCTATCTATTTGACAGACACAAAGACAGAATATCTATAGATCTCCATAGATATACAGTAGATCAATAGATTATATAGATCTCTCCATATACACACATATATAGAGACATATAGAGAGACAGATAAAGAGAAAAATATATGGAGATACATAATAAATCTATAATATATATCTAATTAAATCTTTGCAAAAATCCAAGGAAATGGATATTTTATTATACATGTGAGGGAACTAAGAATAATTTGCCCAAGAACCCACAGCTACTAAGCAGCAAAAGTAAGCCCGTGTTCTTAGCAGTCTGTTCTACAGATGATTTATATGACAGCCAAGTGCTGATGGCTCACACCTGTAATTCTACTTACCCACGAGGATGGGATCTGAATACTGCAGTTGAAAACCAGCCTGGGCAGGAAAGTCTGTAAGAAAGTCTGTAAGATTCTGCCACCAAAAAGCCAGAAGTGGGGCTGCAGCTCAGGTTGTAGAGCAAGGGACAGCATCCAGACCCTAAGTTCAAGCCCCAGTACTGGCACATACAAAGGTTTCATAAGACCACTTCTAATGTCTTAACTTTTCTTAAAATAACCAAAAATTTGTGTCTTTCCCTATTGATCTTTAAAAGGCTACATAATGTCGGAACATTTTCATATTTTTGCAGAGTAAAATACAGTAACTGAGAACTGATGCTGTAAATCAAGACCACCTCACACGGCCCAGTATTTACTTCACATGTGTCATGTCCCCCCACCCCTCCTTCCTCAGAACTTACAGTGTTCTGTATTTTAGAGGGTGATTATAGCAGATTTTATGTAATACATAGAAAACTTCTAACAAAACATCATTATCAATGCAAAAAAATAGCAAAAAAAGCGAACAGAAAGAAAACAATGCTACTCACAGAAGCCAATAATCTTCCATCTTCCTTCATAGCTAAGTAACGGTTCGCACACAAGCCCTTGATAGACACCACGCCTCGTTCTTCTGCTTGAAGCTGTAGTTTGACTGTAAGTAACAGGGAGAAATTACCTTTGTAGCACCATGGAGAAAAGAACCTGTTCCACATACAAAGGCAAGACACCTGAGTAGTACTGAAGGTGCAGACTGTAGCCTAGCTCGTGGCTACATGGGGCTCTTCTCCTGGACACACTTGTGTCACAGTGAGCAGGAGGGCAGAATGGACAATTGTTTCCTTTTTCAGTAATTATATTGTTCCCATTAACTATTCACATTTTTTTAAGTAAAGCTATTTATGTGACATAGAAATATAATTTGTGGGAGCCCGGGCCCTGGTGGCTCACACTTGTAATCCTAGCTACTCAGGCGGCTGAGATCTGAGGATCACAGTTCAAAGCTAGCCCAGGTAGGAAAGTCTGTGAGACTCTTATCTCCAATAAACCAGTAGAAAACCGGAAGTGGTGCTGTGGCTCAAGTGGTAGAGCTCAGGGACAGAGCCCAGGCCCCACGATCAACAACAACAACAACAACAAAAAATATATATATAAATACATATAAATATATAAATACATATAAATATATGTAAATATATTTATATATACATATAAATATACTGTCCATGCTACTGCTTAAGCTCCTTAAAAGTCATTCCTGACCAATTTTTCACAAATGCAAGACAATCTAGGAAATAGAGGTGTGGCTCAAGGGGAAGAGTATCAGTCCTGAGAAGAAATAACCAAGCAAGAAGGGAAGGTTCCAAGTTCAAGGCCCAGTCCTGGTACACATAATAAAGAGGGTCTATATGTTCACTATTGTCTTTTGGGCTCTATTTTCCTGATTTTCTCATGCTTTATATCTACCTTCCCTTTCAATACAATTGGGGTGTATTTTTCTTATAGGAAATTTTTATGTATAGCTATTGTGTGTGCATATACATGTATATGTATAGGAGCCAGGACCTGAAGTCAGGGCCTGGGTGCTGTTCTTTGGCTTTTTGATCAAGGCTGGTGCTCTACCACTTGAGCCATAGCTCTGCTTTGGCTACTTTTGTTGGTTAGTTGGAGAAAGAGCCTCAGAGACTTTCCTACCTGGCCTAGTTTTGAACCGCCATCCTCAGATCTAAGCCTCTTGAGCAGTTAGAATTACAAGCATGACCCACTGATGCCGAGCTGTGTGGAGGTTTTTTTTTTAATTGTTGTTTTGCTTTGTTTTTTTTTAACAAATCTCTAGTGGAAAAACAGCTTTTTCTTATACAATGAGATGGAAGGGTTACATCTCCAGCATCCTGGAGGCACCTGTGTGTTATGCTGCATATTAAGCAGCATATTAAGCAGACTGCAGGAAAACACAAATTTGTATTACTTATAATGAAATGTGGATGAATAATTGCCTAAAATTTAAGGTGAAGTTAAAATAGTTCCGCTTTGCTACTGAGAGGCAGCATCTGCCTGCCTAGAACATTCCCTAAAATGTATTTTGGCTAATAGATACTGCCTACAAAGCAGGTTCTGGGGGGGCAAATAAATTTAGAAAATTCCAGTGAAGGGGCTGGGAAGGTGGCTCAGTGGTAGAGTCCTTGCTATGCATGCATGAGGCCCTGGATTCAATTCCTCAGCACCACATAAGCAAAAAACGCTGGAAGTGGTGCTGTGGCTCAAGTGGTAGAGCACTAGCCTTGAGGCGAAGAGCTGAGGGACAGCGCCCAGGCTCAGAGTTCAGGCTCCTCGACTGACAAAATAATAACACCAATAATAATAATAATAATAAAAAGAAAATTCCAGTGAAACCCAGGTTAACACTCACTGCCAGGCTGCTCAGAGTTATGCTTAGCATCATCCCACTGTGTGCCATCTTCAGGGAATCAAACATAGAGTATTTAACAAATTTAGCCTTAGAACAAACTTTTTCAAAAGCATGTAGGTATTCAGGGTGTCTTTCAGAACAACAGAAAAAGCAGCACTGAAAAGTCCAGATTTTAGAAACTAGCACAACAGGATTTGGATAATATTAGAAATATAATGTTTCTTTAGAGTTTACAAGTAGTTAGAGAAATGGATCATTAAAAAGCAGCTATTTAGTGACTCATGTCTGTTATCCTAATTACACTAGAGGCTGACATCTGAGGATCATGATTTGAAATTAGCCCAGGTAAGAAAGTCTGTGAGACTCTTATCTCAAATTAACCACCAAAAAGCCAGAAGTGGGCCTGTGGCTCACGTAGTAGAGCCCTAGCCTTAAGTGAAGAAGCTCAGGGATAGCAACAAGACCCAAAGTTCAAGCCCCAGGACTGGAAAAAAAGGGGGGGTTCTTGGCATATTATTTCACTTTATTTTTCAATGATACTGGAGTTTGAACACAGGCTCTTATGCTTGCTAAGTTAGCAGGCATTCTCTTTAAGTCACTCTGCCTCCATGAGCTTATTTTAAATACATAAGCTATAAAATGACCAGAGCCTACAAGAAGTTGGGAGCGTCAAAAAGGCATAGATTTTCTTTAAAAATCAGTCTGAAACTTGGCACCAATGGCTCATGCTATAATCCTAGCTATTCAGGAGCTGAGATTTGAGGATCTTGGTTCGAAGCCAGCCTGGGCAGGAAAGTCTGTGAAACTCGTATCTCCAATTAACCACCAAAAAGCTGGACGAGGGGCTGTGACTCAAGTGGTAGACTGCCAACCTTAAGTGAAAAAGCTAAAGGCTCAGGCCCTGAGTTGAAGTCTCAGTAACAGCACACTAAAAAAAAAAACAATAAAGATATAGAGAGAAGATATAAAATGCACACCTAATTGGTATATTATACAGGTCTCTAGGCATCCAAGACATGGTGAGACCAAAGGAGAATACTGTTAGGAGAGAAACACAAAGGTGCAATACCTATGTGCCTTTGACCATATAAAATGATATTTATTGAAATGAATTCCAGGAAATGAAAACAAGAGAGTTTTTTGGTCTTGTTTGTTCACTTATCTGTCTTTGAAGGAGTAAGGTAGGCCACAGAAATGGAGGGACAAAGGGTGAACAAATGCAGCAATGATGCTCACTAGGCACTAAGTGGAAAATGAACAATACAACTTGTGGGTGGGGACAGAAGGTAAAAACTGGGAGAGAAAAAGGGAAGAGGTAACAGTGTCCAAAAAGAAATGTACTCTTTACCTCACTTAAGAAACTGTAATAAGGGGCTGGGAAGGTGGCTCAGTGGTAGAGCGCTAGCCTTGAGCTGAAGAGCTGAGGGACAGCACCCAGGCCCAGAGTTCAGACCCCACGACTGGACCCCCCCCAAAAAAAGAAACTGTAATAATTTTTAAAATGGTAGGAAAGCTCCATGTATATCCTACAAAATTAAGAAAAGTGAGAGAAGGGGTTGCCTTGGGCGGGATGGGTGAGAATGTTGAAAGGGGCAACATTGATCAAGATGCACTGTATTAATAAAAACTGCTTTGTTGAATGACAGTTATTCAAAGGTAATTTTTCTTTGTTGTTGTTTTTAATGTACAATGTGCACTTATTTCTTTTTTCTCTCATCTTTTTCCCCCTATGGTTTATCCCCTGTTGTCACCGTATTTGATTTTGGTACCCTATGTCTTGTATATATGTTTATTTGAATTAGGGAAGGGAAGGGTAACAACAAAATGGTGACACAAAGGACAAAAGGTGAACCAAAGCAACAGCGACATTCACAAGACAATATATTGGAAATGAACTTTACAACTTGGGTGATGTGAGAGGCGGAAAAGTGGGACAAAACCGAGGGAGGGGGTAACAAGTTCGACAACAAATGTACTCACTACCTTATGTATGTAACTGCACCCCCTCTGTACACACCTTGACAATAAAACTGAATAAAGTCTCTGCATCCCCCTGCCAAAAAATAAAAAATAAAATAAATTTGGTGTGGATATCTAACAAACAGACTACAAAACAAGTAATATACCCAGAGATGTCCAGGGTCTTTCCACCGTAGTTAAGAAGCTTGAGGTAATCGAGAAGATAAAATGATGTTAATTTCGTAGCACCTAACAGAACTCTTAACGTATCTGAAAGGACCAGGCCCTAGTGGCTCATGCTTGTAATCCTAGCTATTCAGGAGGCTGAGCTCTGAGGATCACATTTCCAAGCCAGCCTGGGCAGAAGAAGCTGAGAGACTAATATCTCCAATTAACCACCAAAAAGTCACAGGTGGAGGTATGACTCAAGTGGTAGAGCACCAGCCTTGAGCAAAAAAGTCAAGTGAGAGGCCCTGAGTTCAAAAACAGATTGCTCGCAAAAGCTGACAAAAGAGAATGAGCCAGTCAAAATATGGAAGGTAGGAATAGCATAATCAATCCACTTAACTAGGTAACTTTTGGGTTTTTTAAAAATTATAGTGTCACCTAACACATCATTGTCCTGTTAATTTCAAAATTCATTAAAAATTATGCACAAAAACGGAATTTTGCCAGCATGGGTAAGTCTCCTGAGCTGACTTGAACTGCTCAAATCAACTCCCATCTACAAAGTTGTTTTCCTAATGTCCGCATGCTGTGAAGTAACAGCCAGAGCCCTGGTCCTGAGCCCTGTTTGATCTGCAGCATTATCACTAGAATACCATTTCCCTACCATGCCACTTACCATTTAGAGAACCCTGTGGCTTTTAGTATACTTGGGAATTGTGAATCCTCACAACCAATTCCAGGGCATCTGCATCTATAGAACATCTGCATCTCCGCTTCGCAGTCACCCTCCATGCCATCAACACCACCACCCCAACCATAAGCAGCCACTAATCCACACCACAGGTTTTCCTCAGTGGTCTCCTCCGGCCCAGACATCAGTGAACAAAAAGGGCCTACTATAAATAAAGTTCGTCTCGTTATTTCCAAGGAAGATACTATATTAATAACACAGACCTTGTATAAAATCTCAGTCGATTCTGTTCATTCATATAGTAAAGTGGTATCAGATGCCTCTTGTATGTTAAGAATGGAGCTATTCTGGGCTGGGAAGGTGGCTCAGTGGCAGAGCGCTTGCCTTGCATGCCTGAGGCCCTGAGTTCCATTCCTCAGCACCACAT